GGTGAGGACATCTCCAGTAAAACATAATAGTGGATTTGAGAACTTCTTAGGTATCCTGTCTAACCTTGCAGCATATTGGCTGCTTAGATATTTCTCATCTGATGATTCATAATCATTTTTTTACGTTTGTAATTGAATAGTATTACTATTGTTATAGTATTACTAGCTTACTTCATTGAGTTTCGGTTAAAAACGGAATATTTCGCCTGCTTTTTACTATGATTTAATTTTCATACTATGAAATTGTTTAAGGCAATTTGCTTTGAAACAATGCACGCTTAAATTTTTCAATTATTTATTCTTTTATTTATAATTTGACTGTCCTAGTCGTGTCAACTTGAGAACACCATTGCCGTGGACTCCCTGGAAGTGGCTAAACTATATGCTGAAGCCTCCCGCTTGAAGGAGAAACAGCGTGAATTGGACGATGAGATCGCTTCACGTAATGGCATGATCAACAAACTTGAAAGCGAGATTCATCAAGCCAATATTCAAGTAGAGCGAAAGCAGGGTGCCATAGACCTACTGAATAAACGACTGGAGAGCTTAATGTTGAAAACTGGAGTGAGATACTGACATCTTTGTCTCAAGTCCTCTTGCTACTAGTATATTATGCTTAATCGTTTTATTTTAATTTACATCATTCATTCTGCTTATCCAGTCTTAAGTATCTTTAACTTCAACCCAATCTCCTCTTTCACTTACATTTCAAATATCATTGCCTATATAACGAGCTTAACGGGAGCCATTTTGTGTCCTGGTAACTGTTAATTGTTGTCCAATTATTACAAGCTTAGACTGTTGCAAGTCTTACTCATCAAGTGAGAATAATCACTTTATAAGACAATTTTATTCAATTAAGTCACTAGATAAGCTTGATATATTAGCTAGTGTTATCATTAAAAAATAGGTAAACTTCCATATTAAGCTATTGAGCTGATACAAATATTTTAGTGTTTTTATACCACATAGATTTAGAGATTATTATTAAGATGGAATTG